AGAGAGAGAGAGAGAGAGATTAATTCATCGTTTTAAAATAAAAATTAAATTATAAATACTTATTCATATCAAAGTTGAATAACTCCTGAAGCGTAACACCAATGCTATACATATCGGCTTTCGTATCGTACGTATGGCCGTCCATAACCTCCGGCGCCATATACTTAATACTAGCCACACGTGGCGAGTGACCATGCTCATTATCGCTATGATTCACAGCTAGTTCAAAGTCACTCAGTCTCACAAAGCGGCACCCATGAGAACCGAATACCGGTGCTATCGTAATGTTATTAGGTTTAATGTTGCGGTGAATAACGGGTGAATGTCTTGTATGCAAATAGTGTACGCATTCAATGAGTTCCAGCAGTAGTTCAGATGCCATATACAAACCCAGGGGTGGGAACAGGCGTTTGGGACGTACGCCAAAATAGTCACGCGCTTTGCTAAGTGCTGTCTTCAATGATAGCAAACACCAATCCATTTGCATGTTTAGGGTTAGCGTACGTCCCGGTGCTGTGTCACTGATCTCGTGGGTAAACCAGTGATGTCTGTATTGCACATAATAATTACGATCTAATTTTGACCATAAGCGAATTTCGTCCAATTTTTCGTTTAAATGCTTTTCATCTTCATCAATTTATTTTAATAAATAAAATAAATTATTAAAAATTATGTCATTAACTACCCTGTTAAATATTTTATTGTTTTGTTATATTTAACTAATTTTCTATTTTAATATTTATAACAGTTTTGTAAAACAAATATTTCTATGTTTAGTTTTAACAATTAACAATTAAATAATAACACATACAGTACCTGTTATAGAGCATATTTTAACCGCATATAACTTATCCAAAAGTGTATTCTTAATCTTAAACACTTTGCTCCAATGACCATGGCCAATTTGCTCAATGATATCAAAATTTTGACCAATCTTATTTCCATTAACAGCTGATATATTATTTATATCAATATTATTTTTTAATACTATTTGTCCATTTGTCGTCAAGGGTTGTGTAGTTGTGTCAAACATCATGATATTCATAATTTGTGTCCGTATGTATTCATGTATACAATCGTCCACTAAAATATCAACCGGTCTGTTATGATGAATATTATTATTGTCACCGCTATGAATGTCTGTATGGTTTGATGTGATAATTTGATTAGGTAAAATATATTGTCGCACAAATATTTCATTGGTGTTAAGTTCCCTGAGTTGTTGAGCAATTGTCGCACAGTCTGGCCGTTCAGCGGGCCGTACGTCTAGTAAGCGATCGATTAGCGCACAAACGGCCTCATAATAGTTGCCGTGATTTTTGTTATTGCTGTTTAAATATAAATAGATATAATATATAAAATGGTTATTTATTATGTAAATTACTTAATCATTATCAAAAATTATAATTCAAATTCAAAAACATAATTAATATGAATTATTAAAATTATGATTTAATTTACATTTTATCAATATAATATACTTTAATTGTAATCATTACCAAAATATAATAATATATTTATGTAGTTAAACGAATTGATCAAATTAAATATTAATTACTGTTTTTATTTTGTTATTAAAAATGTCATCGAAACAAATTTAGTTAATTGATGTTTAGCAATCTCTAAATATATTGTGAAAGAATATAATATTTTAAATATAATAATTTCTATAAAGTTTCAATATTTGTAAATTACTAGAAACTTATTATTAACAGCATAATAAATAGTTTGTGTTTTATTAATTTAAAAATTATGTGTATTAACTATTATAAAAATATTAAATTTTAATTTTATTAAATTAAAATTTTCACTGGTGAGATCGAAATCCAAATTAATAACATTAAATTAATAATTAAATAAAATACATAACTTCAATATAAATTACAGTTTTTAACTTAATAAACTCAAGTAAAGATAAGTTATTATTAACATTATTGTTTTAATTACTATATTAATTAGTTTTACTTTAGTATACCTAATAAAACATTAAATATGTAAAAGAAACTTTATTTATTGTAAATTAAAATTGCCTTAATTATTTTGATGTTGTTAACATTTAAACTTAATTAATTAAATTAATAAAAACACTTCTAGTTTTAAAATATTAATTGTAATAAATGTTTTAATAACTGTAAATGATTTTAAAAACTAATTTTATCTATAAATAATATTTAATAAGTAAGTAAATGAAGTATTGACGTAACTCATATTTTTAATTTAAAAATATTGTAAATAATAATTGTTCATAATGTAAAATTTATATTATTGGTTATTATGAATATGTTATTGTAAATATGAACATTAAAATATAAGCAAATATTTAAACTAAATTTTTAATTAACAATGTAAATTTTACCAATTAATTTTATGATGGTACAATTCCTGGCCGATAACACCCAGGCTGTAGATATCCGATGATAAACTATATGTACTGTTTGACTGCACCTCAGGTGCCATATATTTAATAGCACTGGAAACCAAACACTTTGTAACATGTTCATCAGCGTAAGTAGAGTGACCAAAATTTTCAATTTTTACCATAATTCTATTAAATTCTGGATTATCAACAAGTAGTATATTGCTTGATTTAAGATCTCTATGAATAACAGGCTGTGCATTGTTAAGAAGGTAATAAAGTGCCAGGGTTAGTTGCTCTAACATTCTTATGGGGAAAGAGTATCCCAGGATATTAGAGTGCAAGTGTTAGGGTGTCATTACAAACAATGTATGAGACTTTAAAACTAAGTGTCATTTCTAATCACAAAACTTTAAAACATACTTTCATTACNTTCTTATGGGGAAAGAGTATCCCAGGATATTAGAGTGCAAGTGTTAGGGTGTCATTACAAACAATGTATGAGACTTTAAAACTAAGTGTCATTTCTAATCACAAAACTTTAAAACATACTTTCATTACAAGTAATGTTTGATTCATTATTTTAATATATTTTCCATTAAACCATTTTTCAATTAGTAATAAGTGATTATTAATCACATATTAAATGATTTTTGCATATTTTATTGATTGTATCTAAACCAGCCTTAAATTTGCTTTTCCCCACTTGTTTCCCCCTTTTCCCCCAACCCAACTCTAACAAATAATGTGATATGAAATAATATTGGTCATTAAAGTCCGTATTGTTGGCAAAATATTTGGCCAATTGGCGTAAATAGTCTCTCAATGTATGTGAATGTAAATCCATTTGTATGTATAGCACAAGTGGGCGCTCCGGTAGGCAATTGTCATACTCTAACCAATGGTACCGGTATTGTATGATATGGTCAACAGAGTCTAATTGTGCCCACAATTTAATCTCAGTGAGTCTTTTATTATAATCCAATTTTTCTATAAACATATAAATAAAAAATTTTAATAAATTTAGTAAATAACTTGGTTGTTAGTCAATTTGACAAATTGTCGCACATACCGTTTATTTTGTATTGTTAAATAGCATAATCCTTATGCAGTTGCTTATGTCGACCCTTAAACACTGTACAAAATATGCCCTGGGTCAACTTCTCAATTCGATCTGAGTGAAACAGTGTGTGAAATAAATTGTCGTCGATAGTGAGCTCAATAAATTTTGTCTCCACTTTCACCGGCATTAATGGCTTTTCATTGAAATTATATTTCATTTGTAGAAAATGTTCAATAAATTCTTGGTTTGGATTATATGTGCGGTTCGGGTCAATGATGTCGGGAATGGTATCTCTGACCACTTTGTAAGGTAGGGCCCACTCGTGTTTGGCACTCAATAGGATCTCACACGTGGGCCGATGTGTGGGCTGACTGTCCAACAGTTTCCAAGTCGTGTCAATTAGTTTTGTTTATTTTATGCCATAGTTTTCATTCATACGACTGTAAGCACTGATTGAATGAGTGAAAAAATTGTTAATTTAAATTAAAATTAACATTTATTTAAAAGTATGTTATGAGATTATTTATGCTAAAATACTGTACATTTTATTAAAAACAAATATTTTTATAAATTCTAATTATAAATGTCTAATTTTTGGAAACAGGCAAAAGATGGATTGTTCGTACCATAGTTCTTTATGTTTATAATTTTTTCTAAATCATAATTTATAATCTAGACTTAAATAATATGCGAACATTTTTTATTATGTTAGAGAGAGAGAGAGAGAGAGAGAGAGAGAGAAAATATATAATTATTTAGAAATTTAACTTACATATCTAGATCAAAGTTAAACAACTCCTGTACGACAGCACCCATACTATAAATATCCACTTTATTGTCAACATCCGATCCATACATCACCTCCGGTGCCATATACTGGTCATACTGTGGTTCCCCCTCTGTCTGTGGCCTAACCGGTGCTTTCAAACCAATGTCTGTCAGTTTAACGCACCGAACGGTCGGACCAAAGGTTATAAGTATAGTGTCGGGCCGTATCTGGCCGTGAGTTATAGGGGGCGCACAGGTATGCAAATAGTGTAGGCACTCGAGTGCGTCCAACAGTAGCTCAGATTCCATATAATAAGCCATTGGCGACAAAAGTTGATTATTTTTGGCCCCGAAATGGTGTTTAATTTTTACTATAGCTTCGGTTAACGACATTATATACGTATCGGTTTGTAAGTATAGCCTCAGCACCGGTAGGGTATGGACGCTGTCCGAGTCGTATTGACACCAATGGGACAGGTATTTGATTACGTGTTCCGCATCTAATTGTGACCACACGTCCAGTGCGTGTTTCAGGGTTTTATAATCGTTGAGATCTAGGTCATAAATTAAATTTTTAATTACCATTAATTTGAATGCGTTTAATAGCGTTGTCTGTTTGGTATGATTTATGTGTTACTTTATAAACGGGGCCAAAATGACCATTCAAAATGTCAATTATAGTAAAACTATGAGCAAACTTATAGATTTCAATGGGAAGTTCAACAGTACTCTCATTGTCTTCTGTTTCTGTCACTATTGTCTGATCCACTATTTGATTGTCTATTATCTCAGCAATTGGTTCACTATTTATGGCTTTTTTGCCTATGAGCTGATCCGTGGGTTCTTTTTCTATGTTTTAATTACTGGATTCGTTGATAACTGTTTCATCATTTAATTCAGTATCCATTTGTTGGATAACTGTCTCACTATCTGACGAATTATTAATTATCTCATCTATTTTTACGGAAGTTTTTGGCTCATCAATTGTTTGAGCAAAACTTGTTGATCATGGTTAAGCTTGGTTGATTCTTGATTCGCTCTCGCTGGTGTCGCCATTAATTCATGTTCATTAAATTGCCCATCATTACTTTCTTCAATTTGCTGTTCACTATACAGTTTGTCTATTTGTTCAACGACTGTCTCACTATCTGGTGGTTTATCCGTTATCTCACTGTCTATTACGTGATCTTTGGTTTAAATAATAACTTATTATTATTAATAATAGGTTTATCTGTAATCGCATTATCTATTGTTACGGTATTTATTGATTTATCTTTAGTTTGGGCAAAAATTTGTTGATCATGGTTTAGTTTGTCTGAATTAAAAACACCGCGATTGTCCAATAATTTATATGTAATTAATTACCCGTAATTATTTAGATGGCATTGTTGTTTGAAATACAGTTTGTCAATTTGTTGATCGATATAATCCTTATCTAAATACTGGTATGCAAATACGTTACGCATTCAATAATCTCCAGCAATATTTCTGATGCCATATAATAGCCGACGGGTGGCCAGAAATGGCCATCGGTTGACCCAAAATAGCTGTGCATTTTATCAATGACTTTAGTTAGGGATAGTGAATACCACTCCGACTGTGTGTATAACTTGAGCGCCTGTAGGCTATCCTCCCATTGAACCCAATTAGACAAGTGTTGTCTGATGTAAGCCGGGTCTAAATCGGCCAATTCGGTGAACGCAGTGATTTGTTTGTTCACTTTGTTTTGATCTAGTTAAAATTGTTTGAAACGATTAATTAATATGAAAAAACATTAGACGTTAAACAATTGAATACATTTTATTTGTGCTAAACTGTAATTTTAAGCATAGATTACAGAAAACTTATAACGTTAAATTAGTTTTAGTTTTATATGGCATACGACGTCAAATGAATTATATATTTTTAGTTTAATAATTGTTATATTAAGTAACATCAACTAGTTACTAATATAACATTTAACATAATTAATCAAGCTTAATTTTGTGGCAATTTAATTTTTACTATTAACCTAGTTGGTTTTATTTTTACCTTTAATATCAAACGTTTTAATACAGTAAACATTTGTGTCGGTGTTGTCCTCAACTTTATACGACTGTCCGAACGCACCGGTAGTTAACTCTTCCAATAGTGTATACTTGTTATCATCCAAACCAATAGCACCTTATCTCATGCATAATTCAATAGGTTCACATGATCCATGTCTAACATGTAACTCGTTAACAAATATTCTGATATTTAGTCTGTTTTCACTAAATTAATTGCCCCCTGAAACGATCTTCTTAAATAATTTTTACAATTTAAAAATCTAGCCTAATATTTACAAAAAAAGTTTTTTTTACTATTATTGTCATAATTATAATATTAAATTCAAAATGTTATGTCAAAAATGCTCAAAATTCAAACAAGACACTTAATGTTATTTTCATGCTGTTACCAATTATGAAATTAAAATTTTTGTAGCTTGAGTAGTTTTCTAAGTCCATCGATGTCAAAGTTTTAAATAATTGTATGTTTAAAATAAATTAAAAATAAGTTTTTAATTAAAACACATATGTTGTTAACTTAATTACAAAATTTTATAATTATTGACAACAAAGAATATTTTGTTAGATCTCTCTCTCTCTCTCTCTCTCTCTCTCTCCCCCTCTCTCTCTCTCTCTCTCTCTCCCTCTCTCTCTCATTAATTAGCAGATTTCGAAATCATTTTATCATCATAATAAGTTTTGAGAAACTCATTTTGCTCCAGCAGAGCAATACCAGGATGATCGGCACGCACTACATCCAGATCATAAACAATCGGTGGCTGATTGAACGATGTCAGTGCCTCCACACACGTGGGCCTATCAGCCGCTTTGCCAGATATCATACGAGCCAACAAAGTTACAAGCTCCGGGTGCACCACAATTTTACTGCTAAATTGGGCATGGAATATATTTTGTAATTAAATAAACAATTATGTACATAATTATAAAAAAAAGTCAAATAAATGTACTTGTTAATATCGAGGTTGAAAAATTGAATAAGCGTAACACCCAGGCTAAAAATATCGGCCCTCTTATTGTATTCACCACCCCATTTCACCTCGGGCGCCTGATAGGTTAATGTGCCCACATTGACCGTGTGCTGTGACGCGGATGCTTCGAGCTTGGCAAATCCAAAATCGCACATCTTAACCACCCACCCGTTACCTTGTTGTTTGACCAATATATTACTTTGGTTGATATCCCGATGCATTATATCCATGCCGTGTAAATAGTTTAAACCGTTGAGGATTTCCTCGACCAGGGTAATTGAGATGAAATAATTAACCGGACATATCACCTCGTTAGATTTGCGTTTATAAACGCTTGTGATAAAATCAAAGACATTGTGCAGATTGTAATTACAGTACTCCATCATGATGTAAATTTTATCAAGTTTACTGCCCGGTTCACCCTGTTCGCGCCACGCCCCATAGTATTTGATCACGTTTATGTGATCGCACAATTGCAAAATGTTTATTTCACGATTGATGTTTTTCTCATTTGGTTCCTCTGTAATTAATTTATTTAGTTTATGTATTTTTTAAAATAAACAATAATATTTTTTTACGGTTACATTTACATCTAAATAAAATGCATTAATTTTTAAAATAATAATAAGCTATCATTACTAATATTTGTATCATTTCAATTACATAAAATAAAACATACATAGTTGAAATTTAAATTTAAAGTTTAAATAGCTTAATTTGTTTAATTGCAAAAATCTTTTTGTTATTTTAAATTCAACATGATACACTTTACCAATATTATTTTCACTGATTTTTCCTCCACCAATATTAATTCTAAACAATATTGATCATTATGATATTTATCACTTTCGTTTTATATTACAGTTTTTTTTAATGTTAATCGATGTAAATATAATATAACTAATATAATTTTAAAGTAATTACATAATATAAAACATACCTTTATATAGCTCAATCTGTTTAATAGCAAAAACATTTTTGTTCATTTTAGACTCAACATGGTACACTTTACCAAATCCACCATAGCCAATTAATCTAAATTCGTTGTAATCGGTATTATATCTACCATTTGCCACTTCAATGGAAACTTCCATAACCGAGTCATTGGTCGCCATATTTAAAATAAATGCTCGAATACAACAATACAAGTATTCAACATATACCGTAATATCCCATAGACAACGCGCACCCCGTGTATAACGCGCAGTAAGAAATTTAACAATATTTCTGAATAAAAAATCAATCGTAGATAACGCGCACCCCATGTATAACGCGCATATTTTCTACTGTATGTTTAAACTTATTATTGTTACCCATATTTTTAAAATACAATTCAAAACAACATATAGTGATTAATTGTTGTAATTAAATAAATTTTAAACAATTAAAAACAACAAACAAAATCCTTATTGATTCTGAATCTAATAATGTAGATACAGAAGACATGTTATCTAGATATTAGAGATGTGATCATAATCAGAATCAAGTTTTGATTTTGACTGATTTGATTGATTTTTATACTTATTATAATTATTAATAAACTAGAATTTGTAAACTATTATTGACTCTAATCGTTACACTTATTATATTAATCATGTGCCCTGTTTATATATTGTTTGTAATAATTTAGTAATCATAAGTGAATAACATGTTTAAACTCCACTAATTATATTCAGGTACACTATATATGAGTAGTACTTGAATAGAGTATAAATAACAGCAATAAAGCGAATATATTTTGTACATAGGGATTACTTAAACTAAAATATTTTAAAAACACTTTTTAAAAATCTTTTTTGTGTAATTTGTTTTTAAACCACATATAACGCGCACCCCGTAGATAACGCGCACCACTAATTTTGGCAAGAATTACACTTTTTTCATTAGATAACGCGCGCGTTGTCTATGGGATAATACGGTAATAAGTTTATAACTTACAAGAAAGACAATAAATTCACTTATCACAACTATTTATATTGCATATTAATTGATAGTAACCTAGTTTAATATTTTTTATATACAGTACATGTATGCAAGAAGTTTAGAAATCCTTTATTGTATTGGTAATAAGATTTTGTTGAATATGTTATACGAGAAATTTCCCCCAAAATAATTAGTCACTTGTTTTATTGCTTATGGCATTTTCCTGTACTTTTTATTCAATGTCATTATTAATTTCCAGGAGATTATCTCTTTGTAGATAATCTCCTGACTTGTATTCCAAACTATTTGCTGTATTTTATGTTTTGCTGGAGAGCACTGTCTGCCTCTAGCAGTCAGTTCTCTCCCACCCGCCAAACCGTTCACAATAAAGTTATTTTCAAGTCTCAACCGCAGTGTCTTTTGTCTCGTCGCGTATCACCTGTAAGTGATCCGCGCCTACTCTTGGTCCACACATAAGTGGTGGACAGGGAGATCCGACACGCGTTGCGACCGGCGTGAAGCCCCGAACGGCAGAGAGACCGGCGTGAAGCCCGAACGGCGTGAAGCCTTTGAGAACTCAACACTATTTTAACCCTTTTTATCGTTCGTGTTTGTGGTCATCCAAGTCGACCACCGAACACCACCCTCGCGAGGCCATTATCACACAGAACTTAGCCACCTCTGGAAACCTCGCATAATAAATATACAAAAAGTTTACTAACATTACATTATATTTGATAAATTATGAATGACAAATTAATTTGTTATAAATTGGTAACTAATTTTGCTGAAAGAGAGAGAGAGAGAGAGAGAGAGAGAAAATATATAATTATTTAGAAATTTAACTTACATATCTAGATCAAAGTTAAACAACTCCTGTACGACAGCACCCATACTATAAATATCCACTTTATTGTCA